ATTTTTTTCAATATTTCGTTTTTGAATCTGACTAAAAGTGGAATTTTATCTTAATCATTATTCACCAAAGTTGACCGCTCGCAAATTTATCTTTACAGCTTGCGAAACGTAATAACTTTTTTCAAATAAAAATTTTAAATAAACATTCTATGTAAAACTAAATTAATATTTAAAATGAAAAGAAATGTATTTTATATAGAAAAACTTATATAAAACAGCGGTAGTTATATTATAATGTTTATTAAAAAGTCACATATACGCTAATTTTTGATATGACATTAATTTACTTTTTTATTATTATTATTTACGCGTTCCAATGTTGCCTACGAAATGTTTGCATAAGAAAAAATATTGCCCTTCGAACTGAAAGAAATTCTACAACGTTGATATAAACGAATAAAGAAGGATAACGGAGTTATTCGCAAAGATTGAGATTTTCTTTTTCATCTTTAAAAAAAATCATCCGAGTATTACAGTATAAAATAAAAAAAAAAATACGATAAAGAATCCTATCAATATAGAATTCTTTCTTATTCCCGTTTATTCGCGTGTAATACGTCGTTTGCTTTAAGAAGTAAAACTACCGGAGCTTTGTTTCAGTTTTATTTAAAAGGTAAAGTGTGGATAAACGATTTAAGTTTTTCTACTTTATCTTATTTACTTCTTTTACTTTTGTTTTCCCTTTGTCTCTCATTCGTTTTATAGTCGTCCTCGTCCTCGTCCTCGTCCTCGTGCTTTTCGGTGGAGAGTCTCTTGCACTCGTATACCGTAGTCTTTAAAAAAAACGTAGCGAAACACGGTGAGTAATAAAACGTAGGTCGCTAGTTGTTTTCCAGGAAGGTTACCGGCTCCTCTCCTTCGTGCTTTTTACCGTCTTTAATTGAACCTCCGTACAACTTGAAGGATCTCGTCCATATTCCCTTTCCCTTTCCCTTCCCCCTACCCAACTCTTGTCCCCACCCCATTATTCTCTATCTCTGGAGAACCGCGTTCTCGCGGTGAAGAAGCAAAGCTCGGAACGTACGCACGACTACTATTCGCTCTCTCTCTCTCTCTCTCGATGGGGCATCATAGGACCCAAACGAAGGAGTTTATGATTTTATTGCGAGCGCAAGACGGCCCTGGACGAGAAGAAGAGAGCTAGGTTCCTCGTAAAAAGGACGATATCAGCCACGTATTCCGTAAAACCTTGCTACGTATCTTCCCAGGATGATGATGACTCTCACCGCGTAGATGCGAAATAAAATGACGGTGTTGCATCGTCCTACGACCGCTATATAATATTCTCTCTTTTACCTACGCGCGAAGAGGATAAAAAAAGAGAATATAAAGAAACTAGAAGGAAAAAAATAAAAAGAAGAAAAAAAAGAAAAATATACAAGGAGTGCTGCTGCTGCTGCAACTGCTGCAAATTTATCGCGTTATTAAACAACAAAACGTGTCTTCTCTTTCGGTTACTATATTAACGTTGTGAAATAGTTTGATATTATTCGTCGATAACATTTTAATCTCGTACGCAGATTTATCTTTCTTTTTTTTTTTAGATATCTCCTCGACAACAACGTCTCATTTTTATCACGACGAATTATTCCTTTGGATATATTATATATTAGTTTGTCCCATGAGTTATTTCCACGCCATCCTATGTATGATTTCGAGTCACAATTTTGGAAAGACAGCATAATTAGGCTTCCTGAGAGATAGATGAAGGTAATAGAGCAGAATGATTCATATATAAGACAATAAATCAACCCTTAAACAACAAATATCGTCTATTGAAGTTGCATCAAAAAAAAAAAAGAAAGAAAAAGGAATGAAGGAACTTATGGGACAACCTAATATATATTATAAGGTACGATTCCGAATTCACGTTTATCCTACGATTTCGGTTCTATTCGAATTGATTAATGGTTATTCACGACGTCCATAGAGAGAGTTAAGGAGAATTTCTAAAGTAAAACTCAATGAAAAGTTCGACACCGATATAAAAATCCCAACTTTCTTTTCCCTGGTAGAAAAATAAAAAAAAAAAAAAACGAAGGAAACACGAGATAGAGAGAGAGATAGAGATAATGGTGGAGAAGAGAGGGTGGGAGAGGAGCGGGGGCGGGAAGAGGGGTCGATTGAAAAAGCGAGTGTACCCGGCCGTTTAACGTACGCTGTTAAAAATGGATTCACCCTCGTACTTTCTACCAACTTCTCGAGACATTAGATTATGGCACGTACCCTTAGAGTTCCCGCAACCCCTCTATCTTTTCTTCCCCTTATTCCGTTTTTCTTTTTCTCTTGTATGTAAGAAGGAAAGAAAAGTTTTTTCACGATGGTGGTGGAAGGTAACCGTTCGTTCGTTCCTTCCTTCGTTCTTTCGTTCGTTCGTTCGTTCCACCCTCTCGTTTTCTCTTTCCCTCTCCTCTTTATCTGTGTTTCTTTCACGGTAAAGCCTTTCCGGCTAAACTTCCGGACCATTAATTTACATTAGGACATTTTTCACGAGCGCTAGTGCTCGACTAAGCTTCTCGTGCACCTTCAAATTGGCGGTCGGTCTTCTTTTTAACACGGTTTCTCTCATACACGAAAGTACCCTCGAGTCGTTCCGTGCTCTCTACTCCTTTTCCTCCTCTCTCTCTCTCTCTCTCTCTCTCTCTCTCTTTCTTTCTCTCTTCCCCTCCTTCAAATCCTTCCTCACTTTTATCACTCTACTACTGCTGCTTTTCTCTTGTCGCCGTCGCGCTTGAATTTCACGTTTATTAAAACGAGCACGACGACGAGCTTAGAAAAATGAGGTTGGAAATGTTAAGACTAGGTATATGTATTTCAGATCGGATCGGAATTTCATTAGTTCTTAGTTCGAGCATGTGTTATCGTCATCTTAAATCATCACTCATCATCGGTTATTTTTTCGAAAAATTGATTGACTGGTAAAAACGTGAATACGGTAGTACGAGATACATCGAATTGTTTTTATTACTATAATTATATATTTATATGCTCGTGTATATATATGCATTCAATGTTTTCAATGTTAAGACTCTTTCTAAGTGGTATAAGATAGAAAATATATTCTCAAATAAAATATAAACTCTTTCTATATACGCTTATATATATATAAACATTCTCTTAAATTGTTGATTGCATTTATATATCTTAGGTATTTTTGTCATCGTTATTATTTATTAACTCGTAAAGTGATCGTGGATATTAATACCAATGACGTTGCTGGTAAACGTTCGTTGTATTCTTGTTACCAAGTGACGTGACGGAAAAATAAATGAAAAGGATTGAATGAAGAGATGGGTAAAGAAAATATAAGAGAGATAGGCGAGATTCTAAATAAAGAAACAAAGATACGGACAAATTTCGCGCGTTTTAAATGTTGTTTACCGCTCGTATGCATGCCGCCGTGCTGCGAGCGACGTTTATTACACGCGTGTCATCGTACGTGCTATTAAAACGAGGATGAAAGAGGAGGAGTGGGGATAATACCACGATGCATATATCAGAGACGACGTTGAACGCCGCTGTCCGATATCATGCATGCTCGTCCCAACGACGATTCGATATGTCATCGAGATATCGATCGATATCGTAAACCGTTCTTCCATGTTTATGAGATCGTTCATATGTCGAAGCGCAGAGATATATATATAAATGCATACGTATTTACTTACAAAAACACGTGCATAAAGACATAAACAAACAAAACGTGTATACACGCACGTGTATACGTGGGTACGTTCGTGTATGCAAACTTTTATATATATATATACATACGGGGTTTATCCGAACGAGTGTAACAATCTGATGGGAAGTGATTCAATACGTATTTTTAAAAATGAGGTGAAAAAAGTAATAAAATATTTTTTTTTCTGCTGGAAGCTTCTCCCTTATGAGAAAATCATGTTTGCAAATTCTAGATTTAAAGAACTTTTGTTACTATCAGATTTACGATAGCCATGAAAGGAACCGTGCGAAAATGAATCTCTGCTCTCTGTTTTGACTGCAACCATTTAAAAAGCAGAGTTTACAATATTCGACTGTTGCTGTTCCAACATTGTCATCAATTCGACTGATAGAAACAATCTAAACATAGGAGAAAGAAGTTGTGCATTGTTAAAAGCAAAACGTAAACATCACAGAGTGAGCAATGAATACGAAAGCGTAAACAAAATAAAATCTTTTTAGCTGACAAGTAATTGGAAAGATAAATTCGGTTGTATGCGTATTTCACAAACACGCATAAGTTGTTAATCAAGAGAAGAGACAACGAATATATATATATAATTGTAAAATTAACTAAACAATTAATTAGATTGATGAAAGAAAAAAAATAAAGAAATAAGTAAATGAAGTAATTTCAATGTTTCCTTTATATAAATGATAAAATCTTCCGATATCGGGGTCATTGAATTCACACCGAAGGAAAAGAAAGAAACTTGAAAAAGAAGGTTCTCTCGTTTGCCGCCCAAGAAGAATAACGTTCTAACGTTCCTTTATAAAAGCTGGTCTGCTTGCGAGTCGCACGGTCCACGTTCATTTCCCATTTCAAACACGTCGATACTTGCAACCGAGTTGAAGTCGATGGTAGAAAAGGGGAAAACCAACTTATGAAAGACCGTGCACGAACTAACGAGTCGCTTTCAAAAGTTTAAAGAAAGACTTCAAATACAAAGCGTCGGCTAGCAGAGTTCTTCTTCCAGAGCAGCAGCACCGACTACTTCATATCGACCGTATAATCGGTCTCTTTCTGTTTCTTCGTTGGTCGGTCATCGATGCCACACCTTTTCTTTCAAATTGTTTCTTCAAACACGATAAAAAGAACTTTTGCTCTGTTCGTGAAATAAATTGTCTCGTATCGTTTCGTTTTCGTTTCATGGGACAAATAGAAATGAGTCATCTGATATCATCCGTACCTAGGATATATAAATTTTATTTCCAATATTATTTCGCGTTAATCTCGTAGTTTCATCCGATAAAAAATCCTTTTATCATTTCTGTTTCAGCACACGCTTACGGGCCATTGCGGTAAGGTGATGGCGGCTAAGTTTCTTGGCGAGCCCTCAAAAGTAGTTTCGGGCAGTCACGATCGCACTCTCAAAATCTGGGATTTACGTAACAAGGCGTGTAAGTTGAATAAATCCTATACGCTATGTGTATATGTGTGTGTGTGTGTGTGTGTGTGTGTGTATTTTGTCTTTTATACTATTTCATAATAATTAATCTATTTAAAATCTATGTAAATTTCAACTACTAAATCCATCGATTTAAAACAAGTAATCCGATTTCCGTTAAACAGTTCGATACGGTACGAATAATCTTCTATTAAAGAGTTATTAATAATACGTTTTAAGGCGGAACATTTGAGATATTTCTCGACAAAGAAAATTTCATTTTCTCAAAATGAAAGAGATACGAAAAATATTATCATTTACCACGTAGTAAAGAATTTATCGGGAATTCGATAATAAATATATAAATATTATAAATAATTCGATAATTCGACTTATAGGTAAAGTTGTTTTGACTAACGTATACTACCATCTCCTATCTATTTGAATAGATGAAAATGAAATATTTTTTAAAAAATCTTATCGAGTTCAAATGTTTATAAAAAGGGCATATATAAAAAAATGACAAACAAACTACTCTAAAGGAATATTAATTAAAATGTGAAATATATAACGAGTATAAGGTTATCACATATGCACATACTATGTATATCATTTACGAACGTGGACACTTTAACGACGAAGATCGAATAAAAATCACTTCATCTTTATATTTTTGATCCAACATCGACCTTTTTTTATATATATATATATATTTTTTTTAATCCTTGTATGTTAATTAACTCGATAAGATTAATCCGCGAATATACGGATTTCTTTTTTGCGAACCGTTACGTCAAACCTTATATCTTACTCGTTTTTTTTCCTTTCTTTTTATTCCTTCCTTTACTTTATATTAAGATCTTACCGGTTTTCTTCTCGCATCTCAAAGGCGAATCTTTTTATTCGTCGTCCCTTTTTTTTAACGGGTGTATCCTCATCGCGATAAAAAAAATGAATTGACAATTTCCCACGGTGTCGTTTGAAAAGCGACGACGTCTTCTCGAACGTTTTCCCCATTCTTCGCGAAAAAAAAAAAAGAAAAAACAATGGTCGATCCCGTATTAAATTGAAAATCAATTCGCAGATAGCATCTTGTAGGATACTTTAGCGTGTAATTCTTTTTTTTCTCTCCTTTTTTCTTTTTTCCTTTATATGCAAATAAGTTCGATGATAGGGTGAATATGCTTAAAAGTTTTCCAATTAAAAACGAGGTATTAATGAAAGAAACGCGTTTATAATTCGAGATATTAAAAATATATGTACGTTATGTATTTATATTTGTAGACACGTATATACGATATATACATGTAGAGATTATTCTTCATTAGTTTCTTTCTTTCTCACGTAAAATTTGTTCTCACGGTCGCTTAATATTAAATCTTTATGGATGAAATTTAACGATTAATAGAATAAACTAAGTTCATCGTGGATAATATTCCAAAATGCAGACGCGAAAGTATCGCGACTTATCTATTTTCTCTCTGACAACACGGTACACGTAATGAAAATGAAGAGGAACGGAGTTGGCACGATCTTTCTCGCAGAAATTATTCTTTTCAACAAGTGGTTCGCGATAACGAATTACAGTAAAAAGAATTCTATCGCGTATATATATATATATTGTATATATATTTATATATGTATAAGAACTAATATTTTTCTTTCGGATGCGAGGCATACTGAGAGAGTAGATTTTATCTCGAAGAAGGAAAAAGACATTAAGGATGGGAGAAAAACACAAGTGCTGATGGCAAAAGAGAAAAGGAAATGAATTATACTATTTGTATTATCCTAGACCGAGAGTCATTGTTTTCGTGATAAAAAAAAAAAAAAAAAAAGAAAAGAAAGGAAATATAAAGATAACACGTGATAAATCAAATCAGTAGAAATAACGCAATTGAGATTTGTAAATTGACAGTGGCGGGGGAGGGGAGTATATACTAGTCAGAGAGTTCATATACTAATCTCGTTAAATGGATATCATCTATTTCGAAGAATACGTTTGGTTATATCGATTTGAGCTAAGGTAAACACGTTATTGCTGAAACTTCGATCAGCCGCGTTGAAGATTTTATTGACAAAGGATTGGTAACTGCAGGAGGACGATATCGGCAACGGACGACCGGCAAAACTACGCTTCAGAAGGATAGCCTCGGGGTTCTGATCCGAAATTACATCTGACTCGACTGCCACGTTCGCACCATCAAAGTTGCACACATCGCTAGAAATTAATTCTGTTAGCCGAGGTATCTCGAATGATCGATTATGCGTCGAATCGATTAGACTTTTCGACGATATTACGTACATTTTATAAATGACACGTTGATTTTGACGATAACAGGGATTATTAAAAATGACATATTAAAGTATGATCAAATAAATGATTGGCAGGGGGCCAGGGGCGGGGACGGGGTGAAAATAAAAAAGAGAATTGTTTACGTCAGAGAAGAATACCTGTCATGATTAATTAATGCTAAATGTTGCATTGTTACGATCGAATTGGAATAATTTCGAAGTTGAGAATCGAACGTCATTAAAACTTGTTTCAAGCGTTTCTCGTATCCCCGTCATTAATTTTTCCTGGTTTGCGCTATATGATTATAATTTTTCATTTAATTGACAATACTACCTAGGATGCAAATTGCAAACACGATATTTGTTAGTTGCAGTAGTCGTGATTATTGTGGGCAATGAGAAATATCGGCAGGAATTTGGAACATTCAGAAGTTAAAGCACCAATCACCGAAAGCTACACAGTAGCGTAAACAAATCGTTGAGAAATACAATAGATGTCAAAGAGTTACATGATTGATACGAAAACTTGTCCAGTTCCTATTATTCATAGGAATCGTAACGGTTTATTGCATGTAATTAGTTTTCATATTAAATCTCAATGAATAATTAAAAATAAACAGGTATTATCGGAGATAATCAAATTTTTGCAGTCACGATGAAATCCAATTGAATGAGAAACTCTAAGTGTTATGCCAACGAGATTTAAAAACGATTGCAAGATTTGTTCTCGACAAATAAACTCTGACAAAAATTGATCGCAACACTAATTTTATTCTCTTACTTTCCGTTATATCGTTCTGATAAAATATCTCTTCAATAATTCTTATCAATGACATCGTTGCACTCTCTACTCGACGGTCTTGCAAGTCTTGCTCGATCGATATTTCCCCTTTTCTCTCGTTCGCCATTCAAATAATACGGTTCCCTTAAAACCTTTCACTTTTAGTATCGTTTGGAAAATTTTCTGTACCCACCCAAAAGAAGTTTCAGTGGAAAAATTCACGGTACTGTTGAGAAAAACAGTGAACGTAGCACTATCGAGAGGGTGGAATAAAGGAGGAAGGAATAAAAAGAGGGACAGATAGAAAGAGAGAATGGGCGCGCGAGAAGGCGAAATAGATGGGTGGTGAGCAAGGAATGGTAGTGGTGGTGGTGGTGGTGGTGGTGGTATGGTGGTAAGGGGAGAAAGAGACAGAAGTACAAAAGTTTCGTTGAAATAAATCTCCGAACGCAAGGAACGGACAATGGGAGTGCGCCGTTGAAAGGGCGTTTAAGCGTGAATTATTGTTTAGCTTGCGAGCTTTAAGACAAAAAGGAAGCTTAAAGCGGATCGGGTCTTTTCTAACCGCTCTATTTTCAACCCTTCGACCTGTCCCGTGTAATTTGGAGAACGGCGTGGCACGCCTTCCCGGACGGAACGAACCGTGCCACGCAGAGAGGAACGAGAAGCTCGATTAATTACCGACGCCACGTACGTCGGGAAGTCTGTTCCGTCGACCACAAAATACACGACGTAGATTTACGCGTGCCTCTCTCCTACCGTGTTAGCACATCGAGTGAGAAATTCTCAGCCCTACGTTGTCTACCGTGTTTCGCAGCGCGGCATCGATATCCCTTTGATTTTAACTCAATTCTTTTCTAGAATAAGGAATAATCGAATTTTTCTTCTTTTCTTTTCTTTTTTTTTTTTCTTTTTTTTTAGAAACGACAACAACGGACAATACGTTTTGCTGGTAAGGTCTGTTGTCTCTCTTTGGAACTTAATAGATTGATTACCTTGGAAAACTGACGATAACATTTAAGAAAAAAAGTCTCCTCCTACCACTGGCAAATCCGACAGGTGTTACATTTAGAGAGCTACGACTTCTTCCCATGTGGGTATATATCGTACCTCTTCTTCTGAAAATACCGGAGACGTTTCTTACACGTTGGTAGACTACGTCTCGTGATATCTTGAGATGCCCGGGCTTAGATAGAAATTAATTTGGTCTGGTTATTTTATTCGTTTTGTCCCACCGTTTTGGTAATCCGTTTTGCACTTAACGTTTTTATTTGAAACGATCCAAGAATTAATTCATTACGGCGGAGTGATCGTCATAAGCCGCGTTTAGAATGCACATTTGTATTATTCAACACAGATCGTCGTTTTGTAACTACGTTCATAACGTAGCTCGTTGATTAATCTTTTAACGTCCATTATCGACGATTTTCTACGTCCTCCTAACATTTATCTCTCTATCGTGTTTTATCGATAATACCTTCGACGTCGTCGTTAACTCCCAATGGTTAAACTTTTACCTCTTTTTCTTGTTTAAAAAAAAGAGAAAACTAGAATCGGTGAGCAACGTAACTACGGCTATTCGGTTGTACGTTGCCGGACACTTGGAAAGAAATGTTATTACTGGGTAGAAACCAACGTCTATTACCTCGTCCCGGTATTTGTTTCAACGTTTTAACATATTTTCAAACTTTAAACTCCCAAACGCGAAGTATTATTCTCGAATGGTTCATAGACACACGTGTTAACCTAGAAATTCGAATTAGCGTCTATTTATTTTACTTATTCGAAGAAAACTAGTCGGGAATAGAGGGGACAGTGAAAAACTATACTAATCGAAAAGAGACTCGTTACCAGAGGAAAAAGAGCCTTTGATTCTTTTCCCTTAGTCGAGAATCGAGCGTGAAACACGCGAACACGAAGGAAGAAAGGAAGGTCCTCTGAGCTTGCTTTTACTTAAGCAAATTGCTCCCAGCGCTTTCTCTCTCTCTCTCTCTCTCTCTCTCTCTTTCTTTTTCTTTTTCTTTTTCTTTCTTTCTTTCTTTTCTCTTTATATTTCACTTTATTTATTTCTTTCTTATACGCGCACGCGCCCATAAACGGATATAAACTACGGGGAGATTTAATTTTTTTGAATTTCACGCGTCGCACACCTCTCGCGTGACAGAATTTATGTAAATATTTCTTGCGTGGCGCTAGCTCGATCATTAATAAACACTACCTACACACCACACACCACACCCATTACAAACGATATTACTTTGCTTAGAAATTTTTTTTTACAATACCTAATTTTTTTCCCGTAAAAATCTATGATGTCACGTCGTAAAAATAAATTAGACGAGAGGATCGATCGAACGATCGAATGAACGAACGAACGAACGAACGAACGAACGAGAGATTACATTTTATTTAGTTTGTATAACCTTACGTTACGTGTAGGTTGGGTAAATAGGTAATATCTATAAAAATCGAAATGTTTGTGTGTACGACAATCGCAATAGTGAAACCTGTGCGCGGAGTAGATGCCATGAGAAAACGACGGAGGCGTCGCAAGAAGGTCGCTTGTAAGCGGAAAAGCCGTAATTTATCCGGTTTGCAGTCTTGATGTTGGTCGTTTCCGTGCACCATTCGCGATTTCCAAGAGTTTTACGGAAACGAGGCGACGCGAATGTCATTTCCCGACGTAAATTAAGTTTGAAATCCTGCTTATTTCACCACGGGGATCGATGAAAACGACTACCGAAAGAGATTCGAAAACATTACGATCAAATGATATAACGTTTTACTTTAAAAAAATGTATATATATATATAACATATATACATTTTAATAATTAAACTATATAACTATAAATATTAACCGCATTATATTATATTATTTAACGAAAACGTTTGTAGGTATATCTTATTTCAATATATTTTCTTTTTACTATGAATCTAATGAAATCTATTGGAAAATAACATCTGTCTGTTCACGTACGAATTGGTTTACTTTCAAAGGTACGGAAACTAAATTTACTGGCTCGAGTTGCAATGATCTTGTGACGTCGGACGGTGCCGGTTCAACGATAATCAGTGGTCATTTCGATCAAAGGATAAGATTTTGGGACACCAGAGCGGAATCGTCATCAAACGACATTATTCTCGAAGGAAAGGTTACGTCATTGGATTTATCTCGCGGTAAGTAGAATCATTTTCCATTGAAAAGGTTTCTTCTACTACCTCGGTCAAAATTGCAGTTTCAAATGACCGACTAGCTGGCTATTCGCGAGAGGATTTGAACCATAGCGATATTCAATGACAATCAATATCCCGTCGAAACAAAATGGTATTTCGCGAAGGATCAGATTTTTCGGCAGTGTGTGTGTGCGCATGCGTGTGTGTGTGGGTGTGTGTGGGACGCGTTATAACAGGACGAACGTGCACACAGAAATATCACCTCGCTTTTCGACGGTATCCCAAAGCGCACCGATTTTAACTGGGAATTCGCTGCGTTGATTGAAGAGCTCTTTCGAGAGACATATATTGTCCTCCCGCATTTCATTAATCTCAGTAATACGAGGATAGAAGCCGAATGAAACTGTATTGCAACGACTCTAAAATTCTGCTCGATTACATCGTATCGCTCTAATGCTTTTCCTTTATCATTCGTCGTAATACATTATGTATACTACCATTAAAGTACAATATTCCACTCGTATATAGAGGAATACACTCGACGAAACGTTTCCAAACGCAACTGCCGCAGATTTATACGTCGTAAAATGAGATTACACGGAATGTCCCTTTCGAATCGCCTGCGGATCGTCTTCAGTCTTATGTCGGGTATATATTTGAACTAGCCTCCTTGACTTCTTCGAATTTATAATTAATAAATCGCGACTTCCCGTAGATTCGATTATCCGTTTCATGAATGAATATAAAATTAATCGTATGCTTATTTCTTTTTCTTCTTTTTTTTCTTTTTAGATACGAATTATCTTCTTAGCTGCGTACGAGATGACACCGTTAAGCTGATAGATTTACGAATGAAGAAAATTATTGGATCGTTTAGGTGAGTCCAATCGAGAGTAAGCGATTAAATGATCAATTATCAATTACCTGTGTTAAAAATATTCAATTGAAAGAAAAATTGACGTCTTTTATTGTATCAAATATAGTGCTGACGGCTTCAAAGTTGGTTTCGATTGGACACGGGCAGCTTTCAGTCACGATGGTCAATACATCGCTGCTGGTTCTTCCGACGGATCCGTTTTTGTTTGGTCTGTAGCGACGCATATGGTTGAAAATGTGCTAAAAAATCACGCGTAAGTATGCCTTTTTTTATCGAGTCTCCCCATGGATTATCGATTTCACGTCCCAACCACGAATGCCTCGAACGGATAAAAGTGTGGAGCTCTTTTTAGTATCGATCGGAACATGCGTTTGCGATATTAAGCTCCCTACCGTTATAAAACTCACGTATGAAAGAGATTGTTAAAGTTTATACGCTATTTTACAGCCTATTTCGGTGGCGGCGGCGGCAATGGAAAGGCTTATTAAAATCTAGAATTTCGGTTACGACATTTTGTGCCAAAACCAATGTGTTATACTACTCTATAATATGGATTATTGGAAATGTTGCACAGTCATTTTACGATTAAGATTTTCTAAACCATCAAATTATCCATTATTATATTTTATTATCGTCTATATATATCGTACCAACGTATACCATGGATTTTGTCAAATTTAACGAAATCAAAAGAAACGCGTTCTATGGAATGAAAAACCAATCGTTGTTTCGAGATACGTATTCCTTAAGTGACAAATCGTAACGCGGCAAATCTCGGAAATTCGTTGAAAGCTACTTCGGAAATGGGGATCGCGATTCTAATAACTCCGTACTGATTTATGACTCGAGTAAAAAGTACATAAAACCGAGGAAAATAATATTCCACGAAAGACGAATCGCATGAATCACTGCCGTACGTTACATCGGGTAGAAGATAGATCAGACGTTTCTTAGGACGTGGACCATCTGTCAGGGACATTTCTCGCAAGGAAAGACGACGTATACGTATGTATGTATATATGTATGTATGCACGTAGAGACTGGCATACATTGCTATGTATAGGTATGCTTTGAAGCATCACCAAAATACTTGAATGTTCTGCTTCGACGTGGATTTTCAGAAATACACGCGACCTCCTTCCGTAAGTCAATAATAATTTATGAAAAATTAAGTCTTATCTCTTAGAAACGAGCAAAGTCAAAACACAAATGAGAAAGAGAGAGAAAGAGAGAGAGAGAGAAAATATCAACGAAATAGAACATCCCTCGTAATTTCCTCCTTTGAGTTGATACGACAGAAGTAGCACACGAGTTCACATGTCTTTCAAAAACATTCGATTAATGACATAATATGACCTTACATCCACTTTAACATTTCCTCTCGATGTAACGTTTCTATCATCTTCTTCTACATCTTCTTCTTCTTCCTCTTCTTCTTTTTGTTTTGCATCCATAATATCTATCTCTCTCATTCTTTCTTCCTTTTGCTTCCTCATTCTCCCACAAAGGGCTTTGATCATCTAACCTGATGCGAATTCAACGTTGGTTGCCCTTACGCGAACGGACTAAAACGCTCGTAATTCTAGCAGGCACCTTCGAGTGCTGTGCATACCCACCTGACACGAAAAGTTTCGAAGTACTTCGAGGCTTCGTCGTTTCGTTACACGTACTATGTACACACACACACACACACACATATGTATATATACGCATAAAACACACACATGTATATATATATACGTTAAGGAGAAGGAGGAATAGCACGCGGGACGGGCACGGGCTAAGAAAATATTTCGACGTCGTGCGTTTTCCACTCAACTTTCGCACAACGTGTATCATCCTTTACATACTTTTATACTACGTACATTGAATGTACTGTCTCTATATCCTGAAATGACTTCGCTTTATCACAAATTTATGCGTTAGTCGAGATACCCAAAAATTCCGTGCCGCTGAGAATAAAGTTGGTTCATCGCTATTGAAAATATCATTCCGTATGAACGATTACTGTCAGTTTTGAACGCGTTGCATTTTAATTATAAAAATAGAAATAGAGAGAAAGGCAAAGATAGATTGGAGAAATAGGAAATAGATTCTTAAAAAAAGAAAAATTATGCACTTTTAATTTCTTCGAATAAAGTATCTAATACGCGCTTTTGTGTGTGTGTATATATGTGTATATGTGAAAGGAAAGTAAGAAAAGTACAATTTTCCGATCAATAGTAAACGTCTGCTAATCTTTTCAAATTTTATATATCTTAACTTTATAAAGTTTTATAGAGTAAAAAGAAAAGTTTTTGTCCAACGATGCTCGATGCTCTCATAAATTTCAGGTTCCTTATCGTAAAGTAGAGTAGTCCCTTCCCTACAAGAAAAAAAAACAAGAAAAAAAAAGAAAAATAAGATAGAAAGAAAAAGATTGGTTGCACGATTGGTACTCCTATGGTTTGGTTGCAAACGTTCTCTTTCAGTTTCGTTCTCTCGTCCGTCGTCGATCTCTTATGTTAGTCCGTTCTTCGTCATCGACCTCCTCGAGTTTTCCCAAGGACGAAGAAGAAGAAGAAGAACATCACATCACATCACATCCCATCACATCGCATCGCATCGCATCACATCACGGATAAAGAAGGAAAGAGATAGATAGATAGAGAGATAGAAAGAAGGCTAGAGGCCGGCGTGCGGCTAAGTACCGGTCGTATCGAAAAATGGCTTAAGTACTAGTCACGTATACGCGTTCTCGTCGTTGTCCGCGCGAGCGCGTTTCACTGTTATTACTTTCACCCCGCTCGGTTAGAGAGCTTCAACCATAGAAAAGGGAAAGAGAGAGAGAGAGAGAGAGAGAGAGAGAGAGAGAGAGAGAGAGAGAGAGTAGTCCAGGTCGTCCTGGTTGTATCTTTCGCGCGATGTGGATCGTATAATTCGCATGTTGCTCGCACACCGCGTACGAGGAGCGCGCGTTCAGGAATCCTCGCGACTAACTTAATAAGCCCCTCGCCTTAATCCCCCATTGCTTTATTTTCCTTACTTTTCTCTCTTTCTCTTTCTCTCTCTCTCTCTGTCCGACATGGTCTTTGCTACGTTTATTTTCTTCCCTTTTCTTTTTTTCTCGTTCTTTTTTTTTAACCTTAACATTAGATCTCGCGCGTCGTTCTGTTCCGAACACAGCGAACGAACGAAACGAACGCCTCGCTTAATACGTGATCATCGTATCAAACGTTACTCCTACAACGTGACGGAAATTAATCTTTATTAGATAGAAATGATACTACCAAAGAATGTCGTTTCCCTTTCTAACGATACTTTCTCTTTCAATTTGTGTTTTCTGGAACGTACGAGTAATAGGACGACGATTATGATCATCCCCCTGCTGTTCAACTTATCGTTCAACTAGAATACGAAACACTAATTTCGATTTTTGTCGATGCATTAAAATCACACCGAACGAACGAATAGACCACATCGATCTCTCTTTTTTTTATTGATACCCCATCCCCCCACCGCGACGATCCTTTTCTTTTTGTTTCTTTTTTTTTTCATTTATAGCAAGCACATTTCGCTCGCACCGTTCTATAATTCATTTTGAGTTATGTCACTGTTATTTTCTAACCCCCACCCCCACCCCCTCCGTCGAACCCCCCTCCTATTACCTACGCGATATCTGTCGTGGTTTAAAATGCGAATTCCAGACGTTCCATTTGAATTTTGCAGTCGGGCCAACGAAGCACCACAAGCAACAGCAGCACCAGCACCATCAACAACACCGGCAACAGCACCCCTGGTATCTCCTACCCCTCCCCTTTCCACCAACACCTCTTTCTCGATAAATTTATCGAACTGTGCGTCCATACGCGTTCTTTCGTCTATCCGTTGCATCGAGCTTTGAGCGATTACCTGCCGCGGAAATTATTGCGGAAATAACGCCTTCCGATTTTCCCGCGGCTGGCCCGAGGGGTTTTTAAAATCGTCGTCGGTAGATTTGCTCGCACGGTCTTCCTTGGAATATAAGTTTTACGCATTTAGATCGCGGATTTAAATCGCATTAAGCGGTCAATCGACTTAACGGAATTAACTCATCGGCATCGGCCGTGGCTGAGAAAAATCTCAGGAAACCGGTCGTAGGCCGTGTGCTTGCCAAGGAGATCGTAGATACGCGATCGTAGTTCGATACCATTCGATGAATAATCCCTGGAATTACGGAGCACGCGCACGTTAAATGTAAATAGTATCATTAAGTGATTTGCTTCGGCTTTTATTATAGCACTACCAAAGTGGCTTACGATGTACGCGTACGACACATCTAGAACGTTTCTCTATGACTTCCGATCTTTTTCTAAATTTTATCTTACATTCCTCGATTATTTCTCGGTACTTCGTAGATTTTTTTTTCTTTTTTTTTTCCTTTTTTTCTATTTTTTTCTTTCAAATGTTTATATGAGAATATCGTTCGAAACGAGCTTGAGTATTAAGGAAAGTAAAAAAGAAGGAAAAAGAAAGAAGAAAAAAAAAAATAAATATCGCGCAAAAGCGAACGTTCAATATCCTTCCTGTTCTCTCCTACCGAGGGAAGAAATTAAAATCGATTTTACGTCGATCAAAAGTCATTCGTTCGTTCGTTCGTTCGTTCGTTCGCTCATTCGTTCGTTCGTTTGTTCCGCAAGCATGCGTACGAAACACGCGTGTTTCGACCGATTCGGTATTTAATAAAATAACATCCGCCGTCCTACTCCTACCCCTACCCCTAACCCTGCCCCCTCTACTCCCCCCTCTTCGATACGTTGAAAATGTTTAACGATTTTACGCGGCCGGTAAAACAAAATGGATTTGTATCGGATTTAAAGGTATTCCTCGTTGTTAGAGAATTTCAAACGTCGCAGCAATGGTAGGTGTACATACGTACGTACGTACACCACGTACTCTCGCGATATTCGTTTTAATGAATCGCCACGGTATTTTGGCACGATTTCCCTTCACTGACCTTACTTGAACTCCGAAATCCGCAATTGTTATTGGCCGATAAGCTAGCGCGAACGTTTGCGCTCTAATTTGCAATCAAGCGGCAGCAGTATCCGGGCACCAGCGGGAATAGGTACGCGCGTCGGAAGGCGCGGAATTTACTGCACGATCCTGACAAAGATCAGGACGCCTCGAATAAATAGCAACAGAGGAGTCGACCGATTAAACCTTCCTATGCGTAATTAGTTTAAAGTGAAAGAAGGAAGGAAGGAAGGAAGGGTAGTGGTTGTGGTTGCTTCG